CCTGTGGAGAAGAGTGAGAGGGTAGAAGAGCTGGTCTAAAATCTCTGTTGTAATTTTGGCAGCTGTGGTGTTGGCAACTGGTGCAGACTAGGCCCCAATTCTGGAAAGCTGCTACTGTTGTCATTAGCTGAGGTGGCAAAATGATATTTAACTTACTCCTGGTTGGCTGGAACTGGGTGAAGAACAGCAATAAAACAAACTTCGGCTGGTTTAAGTTGAAGCCCTTCAGGATTTTTCTGTTTTAAGACTAACCCTCATCCTTGCCTCTTTGTCATTCTCTCCATTTCCATCCATTACCCCTTAGTCACTGAAACTGGAGATGAGGAATCAACCAAATTCTACTTCCATTTATGGGTGGTTGGGAGGAAACATTAGGAGGCTGCTTTCCCTGCAGACTGTGGTCTCTACTCTAAAGCATTTTAATTACAAAGAACTTCAATAAAGTTATAACTGCCCTGTCTACCCTGTGCCTTGTGCTTGGGATTTACCAGTGTGAATGGTGCATTGCTTGAGTGGCTTTAGACACTAGGAGATAGATGGAAACTCCCTGAGAAACCTGGCAGCGGCCATCGAGAAGGAACTTAAGTCATTAGTTGCCACCTGTAGCTGATTAGCAGGAACTATTATGGGCCATACATTCAATCTCTCCACCTATTAGATGATCCCTTCTCACTTATCCAGCTGGGGTTATGCAGTCTTCTTTTGGTTGTATATTCATGTTTATTATTCAGTGTACAGTGTCAGTTACGTGTCTGATACAGTAGTCCCCCTTATCTGTGGGGAATACATTCCAAGATCCCCAGTGGCTGCTTGAAGCCTTAGATAGTGCCAAACCCTATATATACTGTGTTTTTCCTCTACATACCTACCTATGGTAACGTTTAATTTGTAAATTCGGCACAGGAAGATATTAGCAACAGTAATAAACCAATAATTATATCACTATACTGTAATAAAAGTTATGTGAATGTGGTCTCAGTGCGAGATTTCATCATGCTAGTCAGAACACAGTTTCAACTTCTGAATTATGTATTTCTGGAATTTTCCATTTAATATTTTTGGACTGTGATTAACTGTAGGTAACTGAAACCATAGAAAGTGAAACTATAGATAAAGGGGGACTACTGTACTATATTATGGTATCCACAATAATTCACAAGTATTCCTGCACACAGAGAATATGCAACCTAGGTGAAACATGATACAAATGTGAAACAATATTTGAATGGTATGGAGCAGATAAGTTAAAAATAGAAGTGAAAAGAGATATGTAGCCCTAGCTGGTTTGGCTCAGTGGATAGAGTGTCGGATATGGACTGAAGGGTCCCGGGTTCGATTCCGGTCAAGGAAACATGCCCAGTTTGCAGGCTCAATCCCCAGTAGGGGGTGTGCAGGGAGCAGCTGGTCAGTGTTTCTCTCTCATCATTAATGTTTCTGTCTCTCCTCTCTTCCTCTCTGAAATCAATAAAAAAAAAGTATTAAAAAACAACAACAAACGGGATACGTGAACTAAAGGCTCTTTCATGCTTAAAAGTGACAGTAAATACTACATGGAAGATGTGTGTCCCTTTAGATATAAATATATAAATGTATAGAGATGTAGATATTTTTTAATCTTCACCCAATGTTATGTTTATTGATTTTTAAAGAAAAAGAGAAACATCAATTGGCTGGCTCTCTTATGTGCCCCATCCTGGGACTGAACCCAGAACTTAGGTATGTGCCCTGACTGGGGATTGAATTCATAACCTTTTGGTGTATGGTACGACAGTCCAACCAACTGAGCCATACTGGCTAGGGTCCCTTTACTCATCCATTTGACTTTATGTCTCTGGATGGATAACTGCAGATCTCTTTCCTCTCCAGAGTTCTAGTCATTCTTTTGTTCTATAAACATTAGGTATGTACTCAGTCACTATTAAGTACTGGGAGTACTATCTGATTGCAAAATCTCTTCCTCTAGATGTCCTGATTATTACATCAAACTTAACTCTTTGCCTTCTACCTCATAATCATTCATCTTCCTGCATCCCTATATGCAAGAGAGCACAGCTCTAGATCATCATCATAAGTCCCTACTATGTGCCATTCATTTTTGAACAACCAAAATTATTAATCTCAGAGATTTTCGAAAGTGTGGTCTCAATGCAGCAGTCCTGTTTTATCTCCCAATACTCTCACCACACACTATCTTAGCAGAACCTTTTATGAATTCCCAAGTTGGTTTCATGTTTTCCCAGTTTTCTTAAAATTTTCTCAATGGCCCTTGGCAGAAAAAAGTTCCCCAGCCCTGAAAGGGGTCAAGAAAAGAGAAGTATAGCCCTAGCTGGCTTGGCTCAGTGGATAGAGCGTTGGCCGGCGGACTGAAGGGTCTGGGTTTGATTCTGGTCAAGGGCATATGCCTGGGTTGCAGGCTCAATCCCCAGTAGGGGATGTGCAGGAGGCAGTTGATCAATGATTCTCATCATTGATGTTTCTGTCTCTCCCTCTCCCTTCCTCTCTAAAATCAATAAAAATATATTAAAAAGAAAAGAGAAGTGTTAAAGAACAGAACCAAGTTTCTCATTTCATGTACCCAGCATTGAAAGATGCGTGATTGCTGCAGGGTGAGGTAACCTTAGACTCCTCCACTGCCACCATGGGCCCCAGTTTGGGAAGCTGACATGATGAGACATGTGATCACTTACAGCTTGTCGCCCTTCAAGTAGTGCGCCTTCCCGCACTCCTTCAGCAAGGCATCCCCAACGGGCTGTGCAGCAAGCATTCAGGCGTCCATCCTTGGCGTCGTACGGCCATTTGTAGCATTTTATCTTGTCCACACATGGGGGACCCAGGAGTTTGAGAAATCCAAGAGGAAAAGTCCAGCTGCCTATGAAAATGACAAAGGAGCAACTCATCTGGAGGATGGTTCCCTACCTCTGAAGGACCCTTCTCTGGGAGAGGAGTCTACATTGTGTAGTGTCTTGAAGACTCAGTAAACTTCTTGTGGGGCTACAGTGTTCTGATTTTGCATTTTTGGGGAGCAGAGTCCTTGGTGTAACTTGCTAATATTCAAGTTAATGAACTCTCTTCCCCAAATGAGCCCTGAACAGTTTTGGCTTGTCTGGGAATTTGGTGAAGGAGTGGGACTCACCCCTTGTTCTACAGTATAATCTACAAGAAAGCAGCTGCAGCTACTCTTGCAAGCTGGCCAGTTGTGGGTGGCATGGACTGTGTGAGTGTACGTTCCTGTCCCTCTGCTCCCATAATAACAATAATAAAATCTAACTATAGTGTAAATGCATAATCTATGTAGATCTGAACCACTGTGAGTTAGATAACAATTTAGGCAGAAGACTCCCTAACTAATCCTTAGAATGGCCAGACCACCCTTTCCTCCCTTCACATCTTACTCATTTGTCTGCAGTGATGGGCTCCAAGGCCAAAAGACAGAACTGTTTCAGGCAGGCCCTTCAGGCTTCCCAGAAGCAGAGGGAGATGAGGCAGTGGGAGGGGGGCCGTAAGGGAACTGACCTGTGAGAGGCCGGCAGAAGTGGAGCTCCCAAAGCTGGAGACCTGGACTTTGACCAAGTAACGTTCCTTCCTGCTTGCTTATCTTTGTGAAATGAAAACAGTTCCCACCTGACTTATAATGTAGTTACGAGGGTCAAATATGAAAGTACTTTGTGAAATGTGAAACGGATAAACTGCTATCATAATTTACATTTATTCAATGACAGCACCTATTTCATGACATCCACCCTAGGCACTGGAGAAACATGAAGAATAAGAAAGGGTCTTTATCTTTTAAGGAACTCAAAAGCGAGAGGGCATTTTTAGAATAATAGGTAGGATGGGATCTTCAGACAATGGACCTGGTGACTTAGAAACTAGAATTGGCCTAAAGAAAGCTATGGTCAGTCTACTGAAAGGTGCAGAGTGACAGTAACAACTTCAAGATGCCTTAACCCAGTAGGTGTGCCCCAAACTTTCTTTCCACTGTGTGCGTCACCAAGAGGGCTGAAGCAGATCAAATGCTCCATGAGCGGGAGGAAGCTGTGGGATGATGGGGAGGGTCCCAACAAAGACTGGAGCCTTGTCAGCATCATCAGAAACCACAAGAAACCAGGTCAGTGTGTGGGGCCCGCTCCCTTAGCTCCAGGGCTTGCTGTGAGCTCTGTGGCTTCTTGAGCAGACTGTACTGAGTAGTGGATCCTTTGAAGCCAAAGGCCCCTTTGGCATGGAGCCCTGTGTCCAGAAAAGCTGGAACTGACTAGAGAAAACTGAGCTGTAGTCCTGAGAGTCAGCCAGGGAGGGAACCAGCTGCATATGGAGTCATGTGATGCTTATGTGCAGCCTTTAGTGCTTTCTTACTGTTCTGCGCAACTCCAAATGGTGTGCCAGTCACCTCTGTCTTTGGCATCCAATGCAGAGTAGTGTTTAATACAGGGGTGGGCAAACTTTTTGACTCGAGGGCCACAATGGGTTCTTAAACTGGACCGGAGGGCTGGAACAAAAGCATGGATGGAGTGTATGTGTGAACTAATATAAATTCAAAGTAAACATCATTACATAAAAGGGTACGGTCTTTTTCTTTTTTTCGGTTTTATTCATTTCAAACGGGCCGGATACGGCCCGCGGGCCGTAGTTTGCCCACAGCTGGTTTAATAGCTCTGTCAATTCTCTAAGTGAGGGGATGAAGCATATGTCTAGAGGGGATCAAAGTCAAGAGCTAGTTAACGGGCGTGTAGTAGGGTGTTGCCGGAGTAGGAGGGGTTAAGAAATGGGTGCAGCGGACCATTTCCCTAACCCTGTGCTGGCCTCTTTCCTGCTATTTCTCTGCCAGAGCAGGAGACATGCCCTCCTTGCCCTCCTTGCCCTCCAGTCGGAGGCAGTAGGGTTTTCTGGGGGGCAAGCATCCCTCAGTCCCTCTGCTTGGAGGAGAAGGAATGTGGCTTGGCCTGCTGGTTAGGATCAAGGAGGAGCTTTGGGGCTGGGCGGGGCAAGGGCAGGCTGAGGCTAGGGTTCCTACTGGCACTGTGCTCCCTGTTGCTGTACTGCAAAGTCCTGCCACCCACCTTCAGGCCGTGCAGCTATGTTCTGGGTGCCCTGACCCAACGGAAGTCCATGGGGCACCCCAGACTGGCAGCCCTGCTCCTGCCTCTCAGCCTGCTGCTCATTGGCGTCTCTGCCTCTGCCGGGATTGGCTGTCCCTGTCTGCCCCACTGGACTACCCGCCGTCTGCTGGTCTCCCACATGGTAAGGTGCCATTACCGGGTGGGGATATCTGCCTGGCACAGGCTGGCAAAGCTCTCCACTCTCCTGTCTCCTTTTCCACCTCCCCAAATCCATGTGCTCTGATGGCAGCCTCAGTGTGCCCTCTACACAATCTCAAAGGGGTCTTAGTGGCCTGAGGACCTGGGCAGGGTGGAGCTGGGAAGAAAAAAGCCACAAGGGCTGGGCTGTTAGCTTCTGGGCCTCAGAATTAGGTGATTTGAGGCAAAGACCCCAAGAAGAGTGCTTCTTGTGAGAACCCCTCCTAATTATACTTCTCTCCTTTTTTTACTCCCCTACTGGGCCCTGTGCCTTCAGGATGACAGTTTCACTGGTAAGTCTCATTCCCTGCCCTGCTCCTTTTCCCCACACCCTCCCCCCCCCCACTGATTTTTAGAGAGAGTGGAAGGGAAGGGGGGGGAGAAAGAGAGAGAGGGAGAGGAGAGAGAGAGAAGAGAGAGAGATGTGAGAGAGACACATGGATTGGTTGCCTCCTGTAGGTGCCCTGACCAGGGCTGGGGATTGAACCTGCAACCCAAGTATGTGCCCTTGACCAGGAATTGAACCCGAGACCCTTCGGTGCACAGGGCAACACTCTATCCACTGAGCAACACCAGCCAGGGTCCCCACACCCCTTTAGTTCCAGATCCCCAGGGAGGCTTGCATCCTACTTTTGGTTCACAGCCTGGGAAGTAGCATAGTAGCAAGGAAAAAGCACAGGGTTTAGAATCTGGACAAGTCTAGGTTTGCATTACCATTCTGCCACATACTCCACGTGTGGCTGCAGTCAGTACACTTACGCCCTCCGACCCTTGGTTTCTGAGGGGTCTACCAGAACAGTAGAAATGATTGTACAATGAAGACTGTTGCCCCTGAGCTGTGGGAGGATTAAATGAGAGACCTGTAAATCTCCAGGCACACCCGCCCCTTAACTGTCAGTAATAAAATGACATCCATATTTTCTCACACATTATCTTACTTGATCTTGATAACAGCCCCACTTTGTGAATGATAAAGTTGAGGCTTAGAGGGGTCCGTAACTTGCCCAAAGTCACAGAGCCAGGATGTAAGTGGCAGAGCTCAGCCTCAAGTCCTTCTTGTCTGAAGCAGGAGAGATGTCTTTGAACCCTACCACTTGATTTTTTTTTCCACCTTTTACAGAAAGATCTGCCCATATTCCTTGCCATACCCTGCCACATACCCGGGCTGCTTGGCTCTGGTGCTGCCCCTGCTGTTTGTGCCTGCACCTGGTGTCAACTCCTTCAGGTATGAGAACTAGCCCTTGGGCCATTCTCAATGGAGATGTGCATTGGGGGCATTTGGGGGTGGGGAGGCTGATGCAAGGGCGACTGATATTAGTGAGTTCATTTGTATCATTTTGGGATGTTTCTCTTTTCAGCTGGCACCAATTGTTGGAATAAAATGTCAGTTCTAGAAATTTATTATTGATATCTTCTATTTGTAAAGTAAGATCCTTCTTATTTAACTCTGTATTTTTATTGCCTAGCTCAGTGCTTGATATATACTAAATGCCCATGCTCTGCTTAAGAATGGGCAGTTTGTAATTTTTCACTGTTATAAATAATACTACAATGAACATCTTTTTAAAAAAAATTTTTTAATTGATTTCAGAGAGGAAGGGAGAGGGAGAGAGAGAAAGAAACATCAATGATGAGAGAGAATCATTGATCGGCTGCCTCCTGCCCACCCCACACTGGGAATTGAGCCTGCAACCCAGGCATGGAATTGAGCCATGACCTCCTGGTTCATAGGTCAAACGCTCAACTGCTGAGCCATGCCGGCCGGGCTACAGTGAACATCTTTAAGATGTTCTCTTTTTTTCTACTTAAGAAATAAATCATTAAAAATTTTTATTTACTGATTTTAGAAGGAGAGGAAGGGAGAGAGAGAATGAAAGAGTGAGAGAGAAAGAGAGAAACACTGATTTGTGTTCTACTTATTTATGTATTCATTGGTTGCTTCTTGTATGTGCCTTAACCGGAGATCGAATCCGCAACTTAGTGTATTGGTACAATGCTCTAACCAACTGAGCTTCCTGACCAGGCCAAGAAATTAATCCATTTTTTATGGTAGCATAACTTTCAGGACCCTCCCTGATCTAAAATGACTTACTCTTCAACACTGGGCCATCATCTCCAGGTAGGGAAGGGGCAGTAAAGGGCTAGATGTTAAATGTGCCCTTTCCTGTGCAGACCTTCAACTGAGCTGGTTCCACCGCCTGGTGCAGAAATCCAAAAAGTCTTACATGTTCCAGTTCTGTAGGAGACACAGGATGCCAGCATCTGCTCAGGTACTCTCCCTGCCAGTTCCAGCCCTGCCCTGTGCCCCTTTCCTTTCTGGCCTCTCATTTTGTTCTCCAGCCCTGTGAGAGATGGGAAGTATGGAGATGAAGTAGACTATTCTTCCATTATACAGTTAGGGAAACTGAGGCCTAAATATTGAGCAACTTCCCTGTGGTACCCCAGGTTCCAGAGGGAGAAATAGAAGCCAGAGGTCCTGATTCCTGGCTTAAGGCCAACCTTGCTCTCTGCCTACAGAGGAAGCTTCTGACTCACTGTTGCCTGTCTGAAAAGGACCATCAAATTTCCGTCCCCTCCCCAGACATCTCCCAAAATGGGCTGCGCTTCAAAAGGACCCAACTTTCAGATCCAGAGGCAGTGGAAGGTCTCCTGAGACAAGACTCACAAAGGCATAAAGGTAGACATGGGGTGTGACTGGAGATAGGCACAGCCACGTAGTGGTGCCTTCGCTAAAGCCAAGAGACAAGGCCACAAGTCCCCCTTCTCCCCAGGGCCTGAGTTCTCCTTTGACTTGCTGCCCGAGGCACGGGCTATTCGAGTGAGCATTCCCTCAGACCCTGAGGTCAGCGTGCGTCTTTGTCACCAGTGGGCACTAGAGTGCGAAGAGCTGAGCAGTCCCTTTGATGTCCAGGTATGGAGTGTCATTTTCCTGTAAAAAGCCAGATCACACAGTGCTGGAGCAAAAACAGCCCACCCATTGTACATACAGGGAGCCTGAGGTCCAGGGAGGGAAGACAGTTCTCCAAAACCCACAAGTCCGAAGTGCCTAGCATTAAGATTCCTTTGGACTAGACAGAAAATGCAGGCGCCTTGTCACGTGGGAGGAGAGGAAAGGAAAGGGCATGCAGAGACCTGGTGCAACTGGGAATGACTAGCAGAGAAATGAATATGGTATTTACCCACATGAGAGGAACCTCAGTGAGATTCGGGTTATAGTAAGAAACCTTTTCAGTTCCTTCGAGAAGTTGTTTTCCCCGAGAAAATAACAAAGTGGTCTCATCTGTCCTGGTTCCCTTCCATTTCCCTCCCTTTGTGGCCTTCCTCAGAAAATGAGCTTATTCTTGTATTATTATTTATTAATTATTGTATTATTTCCCATACAAATATCTGTAAACCTACTTTTACCCTGCCCTATATCGAGACACCTAGAGAAAATGGTCAGAGTACAGAACAGAGACCCCTTGAGAGGAAATTTGTCAATGAACGCCCTATATCAAGACACCTAGAGAAAATGGACAGAGACCCCTTGAGAGGAAATTTGTCAATGAAAAAATTAAGTTTCACATAAGAGAAAAAATAAGGTCCCAGCTTCCTCCTACCCTCGGCCAGGGTGCCTGTACTCTTTCTCAGGCATCTTTCTCTCCCTTTACTGTTTCGTCAACAGAAAACCGTGTCTAGGGGCCACACTGTAGACCTGCCTTATGAATTCCTTCTGCCCTGTCTGTGCATAGAGGTGAGTAAAGAAAAAGGTGGGGGTTGTCCATGGCCCCACTCTTAGGTCCCCAGATAGTGCAGTTGGTCAAACATATCTCCAGTAAGTCGGGTTTTAAAAGGACTGGGTGTTAACAAGGTGTTTAGGAAGACAGGTGCCAGCTTGACTGTGAGCCACACACTGGGTCAGAGATGGAAGTGTCCTGCTGACCAAAAGATTCTTGGGGGTGATTCCAACCTCAGCTCCACCCAAACCCAGCTTTCCTTGGCCCAGACCTGGATTCAGCCCCCTGAGGCGGAATAGGCAGCTCCCTTCACTGTGTGTGCTGATCAGTCATGGTGGGGGCACGTGGCCATTGCAAGATTCCATATGGCCTCAAAAGTCTTGTCCCCACTAGCCCTTCGTGGCAGTCCTCCTCTCCATAATTCTGAAGTGCCTAACATTAAGACTTCTTTGGATTAGACAGAAAAGGCAGGGGCCTTGACATCCAGGAGGAAACTAAAGGGAGGATGCAGGCAGAGACTTGGAGCACTGAGCATCTGCCAGGGTGGACAACCATTGGGCGTTTGGGCAACCCAGATGGAGGGACCCATACAGGGCACTAGGCACCTTGGGAAGCACTGAAAGTGGGGGTATAGACAGAGATGTGGACATCACAATCTGCCTCTTTCTGGGGATAGGTTCTCCTCTCCGGGGGCAAGAGGACTCAGCCCCTCATTAGCTGATCTCACTCCCATACTCTGGAGTTCCTCCCCCAGCGTCAGGCACCACTTACCCTTGCCTACACCCTGCACTGCTTCCCCTCCTCAGTGCCCTGCCAGCTCAGGC